GCGCAGGGGTGAAGGGGGGTGAGAACGCCAGCGTGAAGTGTGGAGGGTTTTCATGAAAGAAGTTCAAAAGGGCACACCACACTACATTTAGATGAGCAAGGAAAAAAAATTATAATAGTGAATGCGTGATAGGAGGATATAGGAGGGGTGAATAGGTCAAACCTGGAGAAATAACACAACTATTTAGCACATATTTTGTCAAAGGATTGGCTTCACTTGTCTCTTTGACGAGTTGTAGTGTGGCGCTAAGAATGGCAAAACTCACTGACGATGCCGGCGAAACGTCTGGGAATGCACCACGACCACAGATCGACTTTAGACATTATCATGCATACAACGGACTCCGGATTAGGTGCGTTCCTCTAAGTCTTCCTACAAATATGACCAAGTTGCGAAAAAAAGGTCAAATAACTTATATAGATCGAAAGACTGCGACCACACAAAAGGCCATACCATCTTTGTCTTCATATCTTGGTTTAAAAGAGATACATCGATTAAAAACGGGTGATAAAGGCTAAAATTAACTGGTTAAATATCAATGAGAATGCTGTCTGAAATTAGCAAGTTATGCTAGGTGTTGGTAGCAAGAACAAGAATACAGTGAATATTGGTAAAAATGAATAAAAGCAGATAATGCCAGTCTTGTATAAAAATAAAAAAGCCTAACTATAAGCATGTATGAACAAGCAATGGATTAGAAGAATGACCAGTCGATTATTATGGCCTTATAACGCAAAACACTAGTAAATTAAGGATTGGTGACGCCCAGAAGATTGAATACAACAATCAGTTACCTTAAATCCGCACCAGTTATATAAAACAAAAAAAATGCAGAATCGCAATACTCACAGCAATGACATCCAATCTTTTTACTGTATGAAATTCTGTATATGGTCTTATTTAAGTAAAGGCTAGACTAGCTAAAAGTTTAAACTCAAGTTCCATCTTCCTCCTTACTAACCTTCTTAATGTATTAATGAAGTCACTTCAAGTTTGGCTAAAACAAATTTGATTTAAGTAGATTTAGGCTCGCAATAGAGAAGTAAAAAGTTTGTCAATAGTATTTACCTGTAGTCTCGAAACTCTACTCAAATATGAAATATAAGTATTTTAAAAGATTTTAGGGAATTTAAAAAAAATTATAGCGTACTCAGAAGACAGAGTTTCGCGAAAGTCACGCCAAATGATAAGTTTTTGATGAGAGAAAGTCAAATTACTTTTAGGTGAAATTGAGAATTATGCGTCTTATGTAGCAATTCGATAACTCAAAAAATCGAATTTAAGTCCTCTTTCTGAATGACTGTATCCAATCAAAAGTGAACTAGGCTTCACTCAATATACTTTCCATTCAAAATTGATAATAACACACATTAATTCTAGTTACAAAATTCCGGGAAAAAAATTAAAACCAATTTATGCTAGAGGCCCCATGTGTGTGTAAAAGTATTTTCTGGCAACATTACTTTAGGAAAATTCGACTACCAGTCCTTCATCATTTTAAACGAAATAGGATGAATACATCTCATATTACTGAACCCGTCATCATCCCTAGTGTATGCTTATATGACTATTAATTTAAAGCCTTGAATTTGAATTTGG